TCTATAGTTTCGAAGAGATTTGATATATTTAGAGATTTTATAAATGGCAGGATATAAATATATTAATAAAATAATAAAATATATTTAATTACCTTTAATTTTGGAAATGATGCATGTTTTTTGATGATTTATTTTCACTAATCAATTTGCCACACCACATGTAATGAAATTGAATACATGTCGTCAATTGAAATTGACAAATGTCAATCAATTATGTGTGAAATTCAACTTTTATATATTATATAGATATAGATTTGTGACATCCAATTAGGGTTTGGCAACGTTAAACATCATATAGGGCAAAATTGGGGGACTAAATATGTAATGAAGTATAATTCGAGAGGCTAAAGTTGAATTCTAAAAAATTTCCCAACATTTAGTACGAATATTATAACCAATTTCTCTTTTACGCATAATAATTATTTCAAAACGATTTTCCCCAAATTCATAAACCCCTCGAAGCTGCAGTTGGTTCGCAGCGGTGAGTCCATTATTCACCGGCGACGATGACCACCAGAATAGCACCAGGTGTTGGGGCAAATCTTCTCGGCCAGCACTCCGCCGAGCGCAACCAAGACGCCACCGTCTACGTCGGCAATCTCGAAACCAAAGTACTCTTCTCTTGTTATCGCTCTGTCAGTGTTTACTACCTATTATTTTCTTCAAATGGCCTAGGGTTTAAGTCAAATATCGTTTCTAGCCGGCATATTTGCATCTGCTTAAGTTAATTGGGGCAATGATTTCTTTTTAAATGATGAACTCTAGAGATTTAGAAGAATGCTTCGTCTTTTTCCTCCATCTGTGTGTTTTTGTATTTTGAGTTTATTTCCATTGGAATTGGTTTCTCAATTCAGTTATCTGTTCGGAATCGGAGTAATTTTATTTTTTTAACCTTTTATATACCTCGAATTCAAATGGGAAGAGCGAAAAATGTATTGTCGTTTATTATGTGTAACTCCCACTTTATTTGTTCCCCTTTTGAAATGTATGGGGTCATGCGATAATTTAAAACTTTTTTTATGTGCGTTCGCAGGCGAGTGAAGAGTTATTATGGGAGCTGTTTGTTCAAGCAGGACCAGTTGGTATGTTTCAGATTTTATATTGTTATACCTCTTGTGTGTGTGTGTGTGTGTGTGTGTGTGTGTGTGTTATTATAGACGTTATGTAATTGATGTTTGTAATTCTCCATAATCGGATGTTACGTATATTTATCAGAATTTATTTTTCGAGTTTTGTGTTTACTTCATGTATTTGTGTATGTCTTGGGGTCTTACGTGTATTCTTCGTTGCAGTCAATGTGTATGTTCCCAAGGACAGAGTTACAAATGCTCATCAAGGCTATGGCTTTGTGGAGTTCAGAAGTGAAGAAGATGCTGATTACGTAAGCATCTTATTATAGCTTCCGAAATTGTTTAATTATTGAGGCCTGATTTTGATTTTGTCGCTTTATGCAGGCAATTAAGGTGCTAAACATGATTAAACTGTTTGGAAAGCCAATACGAGTAAATAAGGTATGTGTTTGCACTTTCTTCCAGATCTGAGTTGGTTGACAATTTGCATTTTCTCAATTAAGTTGATCTTCAACCCCTTCGTTTTTTCCTCCCTTTTTTTGGAATTTAGGCGTCACAAGATAAGAAAAGTGTGGATGTGGGAGCAAACCTTTTCATCGGGAATCTTGATCCGGTAAGAAGTCCTGATTTATACACACACACACACACACACACACACACACACATGGAATATTTATGTCAATGTTTACTTCAGAACTCTCTCCTTTCTCTAATGGCTTTATATTCAATTTGATATTCTGTGTAACTAGTCTTATATAATGTAGACGCATATTTGTGATCAAACAATAAGATTTTAGAAATGCAACTGAACTGTTTCTATTGTTTACAGGATGTTGATGAAAAACTTCTGTACGACACTTTCACTGCCTTTGGTGTCATTGTTACAAATCCAAAGGTTATTCATCTCTCTCTGTTGTAGTTATCCAATTTCACTGTCTATTTCGTCTCTCTTGTACCAAATTACATGGAGAGAGCTAATATTGTCACATCTTTCCATCTTTTTTTTTTGTATTGCATATGAATAGGCTATTACTCAAGCTTCTTATTTGGAATTTTTTTCCCTTGGATCTGCTAGTTTCTTCTAATTTTGTGTTTCTCCATGATAGATCTTCAAGAAATTTTATGCTTCTTATTCTTTTCGAAAATGAAGAACAATGATATTGATTATAATTGTCCTTGTTTATTTTCTCCACACCCATCCATATTGATCTCTCTCCTTCCTACAACCAGTGTGAGGTGGGGGGGTGTTGTTACCACCAATTTGGACTGCAAGACGTGTGTTTGTCTTAGCGTTGACATTTCTACCAATGGTTTTTTTTGTGTCTGTAACTTTTGATACTATCAATTAATTGGT